CTGACACTTTCCCTCCTGGTACCCCGTGGAGGCTGAGGCGACCTGTCTACGGTCTTCGTCAGGCTCCTCGTAAGTGGCACGACACTCTTCGTTCTACCCTCTCTGACCTTGGGTTCCAGCCGTCTTCTGCCGACCCGTCGCTGTTTGTTCGTCGTGGCTCCACACCGTTCTTTGTTCTGGTTTACGTCGACGACCTGGTTTTCGCCACTGCTGACAGGGTTGCCTTGGCAGACGTGAAGTCCGAACTGCACAAGAGACACACGTGCACTGACCTTGGTGAGCTGCGCCACTACCTTGACCTGCAGATCACCAGGGATAGAGCTGCTCGCACCATTACACTCTCACAGTCACACATGGTGCAGCAGGTCCTTCAGCGGTTCGAGCTTCAGCACTCCACAGTACAGCGCACACCTCTTGTTGTTGACCACAGACTTACTGGACCCTTTCCTGACGAGCCGTTTGAGTCTAGTGGTCCCTACGCAGAGATGGTGGGCTGCCTCATGTACCTGATGACTTGCACTCGCCCGGACCTCGCCTTCCCTCTCAGCATCCTTGCTCGCTTTGTTGCGCCAGGGAGACACCGTCCTGTTCACTGGACGGCAGCTGTGAGGGTGGCGAAGTACCTAGCGACGACATCAGGCGTGGGGCTATTCTTGGAGGGCAGCAGCCTGTCGTACTTACTGGTCACTGTGACTCTTCTTACGCTGACGACGCTGAGACTCATAGGTCTACTCAGGGGTACTATTTCAGCTTGGGTTCTGGAGCTGTTTCGTCGCGGTCCACGCGCTCCTCTTCGGTCTCGACCTCTACAGCTGAGGCTGAGATCTACGCTGGTGCCATGGCGGCACAGGAGCTGCGTTGGTTGACCTTCTTGCTCGCCGACCTTGGTGAGCGGCCGAGCTCTGCACCGACCTTGTTCACTGACAACAAGGCGTCGATTCTCCTTTGTCGAGAGCCGCGACTGGAGAGCAGAGTGAAGCACATTAACGTCAGGTACTTTCTTCTGCGAGAGTTGTAGAGACGTGGACAGGCTCGCTTCGAGTTTGTGGAGTCCGAGGCCAACACTGCAAACATCTTCACCAAGGCGCTTCCGCCTTGTGACCACCAGAGGTGTTGTGTGCAGTTAGGCCTTGTTGACATAGTTTCTAGTCGTGTATAGGCTTGAGTCTACTGTTTGCTTTGCTTGTACTCTTGCTATACACACTTGTGAACTCTCGAACTGGCCTTGTGGCCCCTGTTGCTTGTGCTCAGAGTGTGTGGTGACGTTGTGATCCACCCTGAGCTTTGTTTCTTTGTGACTGGTCTTGTGACCGTACACTTTTGGTTTTGCTTGACACCCCTCACTTAGGCTATGGGGGTGTGTCAAATGTTGTAGCCTGTAGTGAGGTTTGTCTTAGGGGATACAGATGTTAGGGTTTGTTATACCGTATGGCCCCGGATATAGGCGCCGTCCGATTAAAGGCACCGGCGCCTCTATCTGGAGCATGGCGGTTATGGCCGGAACTCGATTATAAGCGCACCCCCTGAAAATTTTATCCTTATTATAAGCGCATCCCTTAACCTTTCATTGGAGGCATTACAAAAGATTTTACTAAACTGTCACTTTTTCTAAGCAACAACATCAGATTAAGCTACGGTAGATCTCCTAACAACAAGTTTAGCGGGGGTACTTCTACCTAACATGGATCATACACTACCCCTCCTACTCCTCCTCGTCAGATTCGGGCTCCTGGCAGTTGTTGCCAAAAAAACCATCAGCGATGATGTCATCGTCGACATCCACTTCAGCTGTCAGCTGGCTCCGCCTGTGCGCCATGGCGAGTCCGTCCTCACTGCCGTCAAGCTGGTTGCTGATGCCACAGGTGAGGAAGGCATGTTTGATGAGGTCGGCCGGCACTGCTTTCCAGGCTTGTGATACCCACCGCAGGACGACCTCTGGTGGAGGCTTCTTCAGGTTCCCTGAAACATTACGGGAGAACGGTGGAAAGCAGTTAGTGCAACAACAAAGAATTCGGGGGGGGGGGGGGGGGGAATACCGTACTCATGCCATACCTGCTGCCGTCAGCTCCTCTTGCCCCTCTGCCTCAAACCACCTCTGGTACTGCTGGCGGACCGACGCCTTAAAGCTCTTGTTGATGCAGACATCGAGCGGCTGTACCTCCGCCGTACAGCCCGACGGGATGATCGCCGGCACGCAGTTCATCTCGTGGAGCTTCTCCTTCACCTCCTCGGTGAGGTGACCGCGGTAAGAATCCAGCACCAGCATCGAGCTCTTGGCGTGTCTGCCGAACCGAGGCTTCAGGAACGGCTTCACGCCCTCCTCAAGCCAGCGAACGACGCCTGGGGAGTCCATCCACCCGTTCTCGTGGCAAGCCACGACCACATCTGCATGAAACACGCACGTGTGGTTAGAATTCGAACTCCGAAAAGAACGCAGTGACCGAGCCGTGCACCTCTTTACTTACCGGCAGGGAAATCGCCCTTCGGCAAGGTTTTGCGCTTGAAGAACACCCACGGCTTCAGCTTCCTTCCGTCCGCCGTGCACGCCAACATCACGGTCACTCTCTGCTTCTGATACCCCGCGCTCCTGATAGGCACCGAGCGAACACCCGTTTCCTCCACGGTGGTGGTGGCGGGCATCTCCAGCCAGAGCGGCGTCTGGTCCGCGTTGATGATCCACGCGGTGTCGATGCCGCGCTCACGACGCTTGGCACGCACGAACTGCCAGAAGCTCTTGCACTGCTCAGCGACATCTGCACGGCGGTGGAAGAGACGACGGACACAGACGGAGGGCGTTAGTACAATTAAAGAAAAACAACGTGCCAAATTTAACGGGGTAATTCTCACGCGCGGCGGTTTTCTGGGCAACCCGGGTCTTCATGCGGACGCTCAGATTCCATCGCCGCCGAAAGCGCTCCGACCACCTCAGGCTTCCTTTCCACTTCTTGTCCGGGTACAGAAGCTTCATGAACTCCCGCGACCACTCCTGCAGGCGGCCGACTGACACGGCGGTTCCCTTGCGGCGCCACTCGAGTAGCTTCTCGTACACCTTCAACTCCATCGGCCGGTACCACGACGCTCGCCCGCGGCCGTGCTTGCGCTTCCGAGCGGAGTGAACATTCTTGAGGAATTCCGCCGCCCGCTTCCAGTTGGTGAGGCACTTCCGGTGGATTCCGCTCTCGCGAGCCAAGGCGCGCACCGACACCGCCACGTCCATCAGAGCAACCCACTTCAACTTCTCCGCGGCGGTGTAACCTTGCCGCTTGTGGTCGGTGAGCTTGTGCCTGGGAGAGGGGGGGCGGGCATCACGGTTCTGTGAAGAGGGGTGGGGTCGCTTGCGATTATTCGGATAGGTTGGTATGGGCAGTTTCTCGGGTAGCCCGTCGCGTGACCAGTACTCAACGCCGTCGTCGTCATCGTCGCCCGTAACACCTTCTGGAAACACATCCTCAGCGGTGCCGCCCTGGGCGCCGCCCTCGGCGGAAGCCTCCGTGCCACCCTCGGCGCCGTCAGCGCCGCTCGCTTCCTCAGCGTCAGCAACATCATCATCACCGCCGACCGCAGATTCGTCCCAAGGGCAATCGTCGGGCTGTCCCCAACGTCCTCCAGAAGCGTGTTCCACTTCCACGTACTCATCTTGCGCCTTGTTAGACTCCGGTTCGGAGAGGTATTCATCGAACGCCGATGGGAGCAGCAGCGTGAGCATGGGCTGATTGCCAGTGAGTTGCGGAGACACAGGACCCGGAGGCGGAGGAGCAGGAGGAACAGGAGGCGCAGGAGGTGCAGGAGGCGAAGGAGGAGCAGGAGGGGTAGGAGGCGCAGGAGGCCGTGGTGGCTCTGGTGGTTCTGGTGGGATACGGGAGTACCACCCGTCAGCGTCTACTCTAAACACGGGCCTTCGCGTAGGCTTTTTCTTGAACAATAAGTGGGTGCCGCTGAATTCCGCCATGGCTTCCGCAGCCAGGCGAGAACGACCAAGAAACTGAACGAGAAACTAAGAGAAATGGAGAACAAATGAGAGATTCAAAGGGACCCCTTCTGGTTAGCGCCTCGGGGTCCTCGTCGGGGAGAGACGGGTCCCCCCTGTCTGAACCCGGAGAGGAGGTTATCGCGGCACAAAGATGTTGCGCTGGCAGGGCATTCCAGCCCCTTCTCGATGGTTCGGGTGAAATGCAGCTGCCTGCCAGTGCATGAAAGCCTGATTGGGCCTCAAGGCAACTTTCACGTCAGCGCTGGCAGGTGCGCTGCTCCTGGATGGGATTTGTGCGGTCGGGAATCGAAGCGCAGCAGTTTTCGGCGGGATTACATGCATGATCCCACGCGCACGTTACTCAATTGTGTTCGCCTCTTTGCGGGCTTCGATTTGGTACATAAAAATAACAAATTCATTTTTGCCATGATATAAGCGCCGGCGCTTATGGCCGTTATTCAATTACAAGCGCCACCCCTAAAAAAAATGATTTTATTATAGGCGCATATGCGCCTATATCCGGGGTAATACGGTATGTACCCCAACCCACATCAATGAACCAACACTTTCATTCTTGACAGCACGCTCTGTCCAACTACCTGTATCCTAGCTAACACGAGCACCATATCTTTTCCATCTTCCAGTAAATACCCTCAACATGTAACAGCAAATTAGTCATGTACGGTGTACCGTACATCCAAGGATGATATTTATCAAGAGGAAGTGAAAGAACAACTGGCATCCTATATTTACAATACCAAAAAATGCCACCTTGTAACAGTAATGGCTTCATGCAAGGGGCATGTGCCATAATCAGAATATCTACACTACAGGGGCAACACCTAACGGCCTCTTTACAGGTTACAACTGATGTAAGGGAGGGTAGCCACTCGACAGGAGGTGAACCATCACGGCTCAGCACTATTCACAGGGCAGCTTGAAGCTGAGATGGCGTGGATTGTCAACAAGAGACGGGAGGCAGAAATACCACCTGAAGACAGTATGTGCACACTGCCGAGGTACCTTCCCCTCACATGCGCATCACCACACGGCTGGACAAGATCACAGCCCCCACGATTGCACGGACCAGCACTCGCTCTTTATAAATGCTGGCCATGGGGAACGCCAGACAAGACAATGATAAAACAGGAGAAAACATTGATTATTAGGCAAATAGGGCAATAAAATAATGGCCAAGCCAATGTCTTGAAGGAACCGGCAAAAATCACAGCACCAGAAAGCAAGGGCATACCTGACGAGGAAGGAGGTGGCACAGGCAGTCTTATACGCCCCTCGCCCCCACTGGTACATCTGCTTCAGCAGGCCCTGTCGCCGTATGTGCTGAATGCCACTTGTCAGCGCTGTACTCGTGAATGAACACACACCAATATAGAGCGGGATAGGGAGTTGAGTTGGATAAGGTATTGCTTCCAGGTGCTGAGGACGTCAGAGGAACCGTGCATGATCAAGAGAGCACACGACACGAGATTAGCAAAAGGAGAAAAGCTGAAGGATAGAATCTGAAGAGCAAAGCTGAAGGAGAAAAGCTGAAGGTGCAGCGGATGGAGTGCTGGGTAGGGAGTTAGAATGGACCGATCACCTTTTTCCAATTCCTCTGGCGAGAGAGACTGGACAATCAACCATTTACACCACAGTGAGAGAAGAAAAGAGGGAAAGAAAAGCGGAAGATAAGCCGTGAGGAGGAAGCGTGACAAGGTAACACATACAGGCATGCTTCGCCAAACGGTTCAAGCAGGGAAAGCGAGTCACCTACAATACGCCAGTACAACGATCAATGCATGCAGGTGAGAGGAGACCGGATGGGGAAGAGGGAGGGGCAAGCGAAGGCAACTAAAGGAAACTGGGTAACGGGAGGAGGCGAGGGCTTTGGGAAAAAAATGGAGACGGCAGTGAGGGAAGGCGCAGGAGGGAGGTGGCGGGGAAGGGTATGTGTGGTAGAGAGAGGGAGGAAGGCGGGTGGGGGCGGGCGAGACGACCACAGCAGCCGCTGGAGCACCAACGCAACCCAGCAGCAGCAGCAGCAGCAGCAGCAGCAGCAGCAGCAGCAGCAGCAGCAGCAGCAGCAGCAGCAGCAGCAGCAGCAGCAGCAGCAGCAGCAGCAGCAGCAGCAGCAGCAGCAGCAGCAGCAGCAGCAGCAGCAGCAACAGCCGCTGCCAACGCACCTGGTACTCGGGGTGCAGGGCGATGTAGCGAGCGAGCACGTGAGCAATACCATCCACCACCTCCTCCACCTGCACCACCTCGTACGCGCCCTCGCCCTCCAGCGCCTCGCACGGCTCGCTCCCGCGGATCACGCCCGCGTCCATATCCGTCACCCACTGCCACCACTCCTCGCCCTCGCCCTCGCACTCGCTCTCGCCCTCGCTCTGGCTTCCGCTTGCGATTCCGCTCGCGATCCCGCTTGTGCTTCCGCTTCCGCTTGTTCCCCCGCTCTGTGCGCGGCCCTCTCGCGGAACTGTTACTTCTATGCGGCCTGCAGGGCGGACGCAGTTGCGGGGAGCAGAGAGGGGAGCCGAGAGGGGGGAGGGGAAGAGCGCGGAAAGGTGGGGGGGGAGGGGGGAGTAGGGGAGGAGCGGGGGGGGGAGGGAGGGATAAGTGGAATGATTACACGGCTGCGACGTGCCGCGTGCGGCCCCCGGCGTGAAGGCAGCTCCCGGTGAGGCAGTAGCGACACATGCGTAAGGGTGCTTCTAACGATGAAAACTTGTGGTGACGTGAACACTAAGAGGTAAGTGCGCGGTGAGGTGCGCGATGCGTGCGGCGGCGCTACCTGCGTCCACGAGCATGCGCGCCGTGCCGTTCGACGTCGCGTCGCCCGCCTTGAGCTCCGGCGGGCCTCGCAGACGCAGCTGGAACTCGGGCGAGTTCACCTTCAGCTCTATCTGCGCCAACAACTGTGACAATAACGAAGGGTAGGAGTGTGAGCGTGAGCAGACAGGACAATAACGAAGCGGGATGAAGTGGGCAGCCATGCGAAGCGTGAGCGCGAGTGTTAGCACGTGCCGATGCGCTACTCCAGTCACGAGTGCGAAGAAGAGATTGGCAAGGGAAACGGGACGATGACACGGAGAGGCGGAACGGAAGAAGAAGGAAGAGAGGCGAAGGAGGGTAACTAGGGAAGGGTAAAAGGCCACGGTAGGACGAAACGCAATAATCATCATACCGTCCTGTTCCTGTGCCATCCCCCACACATCGTCATCACCTCATCCCCTCCTCGTCACTTCATCCCCTCCTCACCCCCTTCTCATTCCCTCCTCATCCCTTCCGCGTTCAACCTACGTCTTCGTGCTGCTCCTCGCCCGTGCCCACTTTATCGCCCATCCACGCGAGGTCCTCCGCGCGTTGCTGCAGCAGCTCTGTCGCCGCCATCTTATACTCCTCCAGCATCGCCTGCAGCCGCGCGTTCTCCGCGCGCTCGCGCGCCAGGCTCCCCTCCAGCCGCAGCGTCGCGTCCTCGAGAATCTTAAGAGCGTCCCCGCGCCGCGTGCGCTTTGAGACGAGGCTCGACACGCGCGACCATCCCGCCTCCGCAAGCTCCGCGGCCAGGAGGATGGGATGGAGGGCAAGCATGGCGGCGCGCGGATAGCGGATGAGCGGTGAGGTGTAGATTCGCTTCACTTTCCTCTAACGAGTGGGTGACGGAGAAGCAAGTTCGAGCTGTTGGAAAAAAGAATTCCCTAAGAACCCTAAGACGTACTCAGAGATGGTTGAATCTGTGTGAAAGCTTCCCCGGAACTAATTAGACATCAATGGTCTAGCTAGCAAAAGCTGTCACTCCATGTCAGCTAACCACCACACCATCATCGCCTCACCAACACCACGCGTTACCCACAACCACAACACGACCAGCAACTAGCAGGGCAGTCAGTCAGTGAGTCCCCTCACATCTACCGTTTTGTCTGACGACATATCAAGGTGCACAGCGGTGAGTGCCTTTCTCTCGCGTTTCTGTGCGGTTAAACGTCCTTCTGAAGGGTAGATCCGACAAACCCCCGCCCACGAAAAACACATCACTCATGCGGGATGAGCGACGAACCAGGCGAAATACCCGCCAGGGACGTCAAACCTCCAAACCAGCGTACCTGGTTCAGGCTCGGCGAACTGTACGCGTCTTGCTTTGGAAGTTCGTTTAGGAGGTGATATCTCACTACAGTGTACAGCTTATCCTGCTTCTGTAGAAATAGTGAAACATTTTACATTTAGTGTATGCATGCTAAATTGACTGGAACTGAAGTCTCAGACCTCTATTTCGTACCAGGTCTGACTTTTCAGCCCTTCCCGGGGATGAGATGAGAGCTACTGTAATTTACCAGTATAATGCTTCTGCATTCTTTGCTGCAACAATATTTGACCTGACATGACAACCCTGACATTTTAGCTTGCCTGTGAACTAAAATCCTGTCTAACCAGAATGCTAGCTTCAATATATCTGCTTTCATGGCATGTCAATCCAGCATGTGTAGCAAAAAATAATGGCTACATCAAGTGTTGTGTGATCTACATGATTGTGTTTGATTTTTTCCCCTGCGAATGCATGCAGTGTCTGGTGGTTACAGCAGGAAAGAAACAAGTTGTCCGGCGAAGCAGAGGTGAATCACTAAAATTCAGGTGATACTTGGTTTGATTCTGCATGATGAGCCTTGTGAGCGAGTGAAATGAGTGAAACCGCAGGTGAAGCCTTTGCTGCTGAGCAGTTGTCAATATCGTCCTTCGCCCACCAGCTCGGTTTGGAAACTCAGTGAAATCCTCGGTGGGAGGCAGAGGATAACCACTGACCACGAAGCAATTCCTGCGGGTTGGACAGCTTCATGGTGTGTTGCAGCTTCGTGAGTTCATATCCCGTGTTCGATACCAATACGCTAGGGGCGTGGAACAAGAAAGGAAGACCATACACGCACGCTAGGTGCAGCACGTCACCATTTTGCGAACTAGAATCTTGAAATAATACCGCAAATCACATTAACATGCATCGTAGAACCTACAGATCGCTCGCGCGCTTCGAGGTGAACTTCACCGCGGCGGGATCTACGTTCTGGCCAATAGAGCGAAGGTTTTGGTTGGCACCAACACGACCCGCATTCACCTTCTCAGGGTACACACCATCCTTAGGGTGCAGGTACTGCACCTCGCCGCTGGGGAACACCCTGTAGAACTGGTAGTTAATCTTGAACTTGGTCCTCAGTTGCGTACCAAGGGCCAGGCATTGCTCCTTTCTGGCCAGTTTCAGCGAGTTCTCACCGGCTCTCATGGTAGCAGCGCCACCAGTAGGCATCTCGAACACCTGCTCCTTCTTCGAGTCCCACGTGATCACGTAAAACTCCTCATCCTGGGCCTTCCTGAGCAGGCCACCAGTGCTGCCGCCAAAGATCGGGGACGGGACGTCACCCTTCAGCTCTGGGGGGGTGAATCCAGCGGGAGCCTCAGCGGACATGGTAAGGCGGGAGATGGCCGAGGGAGCGACACGGAGGGGCTGGCCTGAGACGAAGCTGCTGCCATTGCGCTGCTGGGTCTTGGCGGACAGAGCAGCGGGAACGCGCAGGGCGGAGGACGATGCAATGGCTGCCATGGTGGCTAAGGCACTGCTATCGTAACAGGAAGTTCAGTGAAGTGAGCAGATCTGTCTTGGCGGAACCGAAGCAGAAAAAGATCTGTGATACCTATACCCTCCATGGGCACTGCTGCTTTCAAACTCCTACATTTGTGAGATCGCAACAAATTCGCAATCAACTCCTTACCAATCGCGATGTACACACGTGGATTTCCTGCCCTGCTGGATTGGCACTCGCGAAGCCATTTTCAACGAAATACCTGAGGGTTCGTCGGGTGTGTCTGCACAACCTTCTGTCAGAGCACACTGGGCATCTGCGACAATAGCTTGTCAATCGAACAAACTGACGATCTTTACGGAACATATAATCATTATCATGTGAATGATTCATGTTATGAGTTATCAAACAGAGCGACATCAGCAGATAATGAAGCTGTGGCGAGATGAACCGTCAAGACTGTTACGATCCCAAGAGGAACCTGTTAGAATCTACTAGCAGGAATGGATCAACTAGGAAAGTGTTGGGTACAAGTATGAAACCCTAAAAGGGCCTGTACCCCATATTGGCTACCCCACTACAGCCTAAACATGTATAGCATACATATAATTTGACACACCCCCATAGGCAAAGTGGGGGAGAGAAAGGGGTCACAAGACCAGTCAAGAGAAGCAAAGCAAGCTCAGGGTGGATCACAACGTCACCACACACACTGAGCACAAGCAAAGGGCCACAAGGTCAGTTCACATGCAGAGGTATATATGCAACAACAACAGCACAGTGATCTCTACCTAGCAGAGCAAGCATGCGGGTATATATATAGATCACAGTACAAGCAAAGTCTACAGCAAGTGAGGAAACGTCGGCACAAGGCCTAACAAAGTGCAGAAACGCTGATGATCACCAGACGGAAGTGCCTTGGTGAATATATTAGCAGTGTTGGCCCGAGTGGCCACGTGAGCAAGACGAAGCTGACCACGCTGCTGCAACTCTCGAGCAAGGAAGTAACGCAGAGCTATGTGCTTCGTTCTGTGCTCCAGTCTGTGCTCCTGACACAAGGCAATGGCGGCCTTGTTGTCTACGTACAGAACTGGAGGAGAACGAGGCCTCTCTCCCAGGTCGGTCAGCAGGTAGGTAAGCCAGCGTAACTCCTGTGCAGCCATGGCTGTGGCGTAGATCTCAGCCTCACAACTGGAGTTGAGAACTGAAGACGAGCGTGTAGAACCCCAAGAAACTGAACCAGAGCCAAGACTGAAGGTGTAACCCTGTGACGACCGCTGCGTAGCCAGGTCGTCAACCCAAGAAGCGTCCGAGTGCCCAGTGAGGACAACGTCGCCCCGTCCTCCAAGCACGAGCCCCATGTCCGATGTACTGCACAAGTAGCGCAGTACCCTCTTAGCAGCATCCATGTGCACCTTTCGGTGCCGACCAGGAGCCATGTAGCGAGCCAGAAGGCCAAGAGGGTACGCAAGGTCAGGACGAGTGCAGGTCATCAGGTACATGAGGCAGCCAACTAGTTCTGGGTAAGGACCACTCGGCTCTACGGACTCGTCCGAAGGTGGAGCTGAGAGCGAGTGACCTGTAGCCAAAGGAGTGGCCTGTGCCAAGGACCAGGTGAAGCCGAAGCGCTGAAGGACTTGCTGCACCATGTGTGACTGAGTCAGTGTGATGGTGCGGCGTGCTCTGTCCCGGGTGATCTGCAAGCCAAGGTAACTGCGCAACTCACCCAGGTCTGTGCACGTGTGTCTCTTCTGCAGCTCGGACTTCACCAGGGCGAGAGCCTCAGTGTCAGCAGTGGCAAAGACCAAGTCGTCGACGTACACAAGGATGTAGAACGGCGGCAGCGAAGTGTCGGTGCGCAGAAACAGCGACGGGTCAACAGTGGAAGGAGCAAACCCAAGAGCCGCAAGTGTCGTCCTTAGTGTGTCGTGCCACTCACGCGGCGCCTGGCGGAGACCGTAGACTGGCCGCCGAAGGCTCCACTGGGTACCAGGAGGGAACGACCCAGTGAAGCCAGGTGGGCGGTGCAGCCAGATCTCCTCGTGCAGGCTGCCTTGTAAGAAAGCTGTGCTGAAGTCAAGAGAGTGAAGCTCGTAGTCACGCTGAGCGGCAACGTGCAGCAACACCCGAAGAGTGGTCATCTTCGGGGTGGGGGAGAAGGTCTGGAAGAAGTCAACTCCCTCCCGCTGGCTGAAGCCTCGAGCAACGTAACGAGCCATGAAGACAGGTGGAGAACCTGGCGGCCTCTTCACCCTGAAAATCCACATGCCATCGACGATGTTCGCCCCAGGAGGGGGAACCTCGTCGACTTAAGTGCCTGTAGACTTCCAGGATGCCATCTCTGCGTCCATGGCTGTCTGCCACTGAGAGGAGTACTCACCCGCTATCGCCTTAGCTTAAGAGCGCGGGGTTGGGATGTCTGGAGCATCCGGGTCTCCCTCAGGGGCAAGCAGCATGGCCATGAGATGAGGCGCAGCGGCTGCAAGACACTCAAGGTCCTCCTGCCTGTCCTCAAGGACGTCCGTGCTAAGAGCACACCCACCCCCGACGGACGGAGGACAGACAGACTCAGACTCAGCAACAAGACTAGCGGCGTAGTCTAGACGACAGGCAGCAGCAAAGTCAACAAGCTCAGCGACCAAGGCAGACGCAGCAGCAGACTCAAACGACGGGTTAGTGACAACAGTGGCTAGCAGACGCGTGACAGTAGGGAGAGCAGCACGAGCGCTGTCAGACGCAGGGTCTGGAACGTCAGGCAGAGAAGACGCAGGAGGGGGTGGCAGGGGAACATGCTGCGGAGCAGAGGAAGGACGCAGGGCCATGAGGTGTGTGCCGGGGACAGCCGGCGGACGCTCACGAGGAACACGACGACCAGTACGACCAGTGCGGACAGCGCGAACAGGCGAGACAGGACGGGACGCAGGCGCACGACGCTCAGTAAGACCTCCTGTCTGCTCAGTGTAAGGAGAAGGAGCAGGCAGCGGTGAGTCAGGCTGTAACGGAAAACCAGTAGAAGACGTGAGACTAAGAACCTGGCGAAGCACAGTGTCAGGTGGTGGTAGAGACGAAGGCGACGGCAGAGCGAAGAACAGTCGCGGCTGTGCAGTGCCACCAGCACCAGTAGCTCCAGCACCTCTAGCAGCTCCAGAACCTCCAGCTCCAGCGCCTCCAGCGCTAGCACCTCCACTAGCTCCAGAACCTCCAGTAGCTCCAGAACCTCCAGCGCCAGCACCTCCAGTACCAGCACCACCAGCAGCTCCATAACCGCCAGCGCCAGCGCCTCCAGCGCCAGCACCTCCACCAGCTCCAGAACCTCCAGCGCCAGCACCTCGAGCAGCTCCAGAGCCTCCAGCGCCAGCACCTCCAGTACCAGCACCTCCAGCAGCTCCAGAACCTCTAGTGCCAGCACCTCCAACAGCTCCAGAACCTCCAGCACCAGCACCTCCAGGACCAGCGCCACCAGCAGCAGCACCCCCAGAACCGGCACCCCCAACTCCAGGGCCTCCAACCTCAGAGTTGACAGCAGCACCTCCAGGTCCAGCAGTACCTCCAGCCCCAGCAGCTCCAGTACCTCCAGTAGGAGCACCTCCGGGACTAGCGGCTCTAGGAACTCCAGTAGAAACACCTCCAGTAGCAGAGTCACCAGCTCCAGCGCCTCCCGCAGTAGGGCCCCCAGCTCCAGCAGCGCGACCCTGACGGCGAACGTACCACTCACGTAGCTGCTGTGGGGAGAGAGGGACAGTGCTAGCTCCAGTGCCTCCAACCCTAGCGCCTCCAGCAGCAGGGGCCCCAGCTCCGGCAGCGCGACCCTGACGGCTGACGTACCACTCACGCAGCTGCTGTGGGGAGAGAGTGCCGACGAGAGTGCTACGGCGAGGCACCAGCGGAGCGACTACAGAGACGGCCGCTCCAGGGAGACTGCTCACCAGACGCCTCAGTGCCCCCAGGTGCAGCACCCCCAGACTCAGTACCCCCAGGCTCAGCACCCCCAGACTCCTCACGCATAGGCTCAGCACCCCCAGGCTCCGCACCCCCAGGCTCAGCACCCCCAGAAGCAGCACCCCGAGCAGGACCACCCCCAACAGGACCTGAGTCACCACTAACCTCAACCGGCTCACGCAAGGGAGGAGGGTCTACCTGAGACACACCTGAAGGAGCAGGACCGGGAGCGGGGAGGGGGTCTACTTGGGGAGGACCTGGAGCGAGGAAGAGCGGCGGGGGGGGGGAGAGGGGCAGTGCGGTAGGGGAAGAGACGGTAAAAGGGAACCGACTCGTCGAACGTGACGTCCTGAGAGGGGAAGACACGGCGCGAGGTGGGGTGGTAAAACTGCCAGCCAGGCGCGTCAGGGACAAAGCCAAGGAAGACACAGGGAACAGCGCGGGCGGAGAGCTTGTCCGCGGTGGTATCGCGGACAAAGGCACGAGAACCCCAGACCCGGAACACCGACGCATCGCCAACCTTCTCCGTCCACCGCAGTGTGGGCGAGGTCTCCGGCAAGGAGACACGGGGCCAGAGGTTGAGCTGATGCGCAGCGTAGCGGACCGCAAACGGCCACAGAAAATGGGGGGCAGCCGCATGGACCATGGAGGTACGAGCGACCTCCATGGCCAAGCCAATGCGGCGCTCAGCAACCCCATTCTGCTGCGGAGAGGCCGGAAGCGTGAAAGTCTGGCGAATGCCCTCCCCACGACAAAAGCTCTGCAGAAGATCGGAGGAAAACTCTCCACCTCTGTCAGAGTGCAGACGCAGGACGGGAAACTCCGTCCCGAACCGCTCGCGGAGCTGGAGAGGAGCAGCGCGGATCCAGGGGATCAAAACATCAGGGACTCCACCCTTGGTGCGCAAGGGGAAGACCGTTGTGTAACGCGAGTAGTCGTCAACAACTAGCAAGAAGAACCGTCGCGGTCCTGTCCACGGACGCGGGCTGGGCCCCACACGTCCATGTGCAGGGTCTGCAGGGGAGCAGTCGTCGGGGGGAACGAGGAGGAGTGAAGAGCGGCGCGTTGCCGCCCCTCGACA